GTTGACTCTCGCTGCTCTGGCCGCAACAGCGTACTCGCCAGAACCCAACTTCCAGTGGCCCCGCCCGCAATGACACCATGTTCGCTTTGATGACTGTGGGTGAACAGCACCGTGATCTGGGCGGGGTCCCGATTGCGCAGGCACTCCATCACTTCCACCCATATGTCGCCGTCATCACCCTTAGGATCATCGTACTGACGATTGTACCGGGAATTGACCACCAGTTCAAAATCCGTGACGTACACAACAGACCCGGTGGTGCTCAGCAAACATTGGGAAGATTTTCAGTTCACCCCTGGCAACAACGTGCCTGCGCCCTGTCAATGGATCCCAAATCGAATATCTGCTTGAATGCTCGGCTTTATCTGTTTGGAACTCACGATGCTCAGACCAACGCGTCGACACTTAGAATCTCGGTGGCGTGGCGAGCTAGAATCGGGCACTCATGACGCATCTCCCGCAATGATTGGCCCCGACGGTCCTCCCCGTCCCAGGCATCCGCCGAACGATTCGTTGATGCTAGAGACATGCCAACTGTCGACCATCTCAGGCTCTGGGATGCGAGGCTTCTCTTTAGAAATAATGCCACGCAACTAAGAAACCTCTCGCTCAAATTAACTTGAGTGATCGCCTGACTGACTGTATCATTTCACTGCTCATAAGCTGATGCAATGCTGTTGACCGAGCACTTCCAGTATCGATGCATCAAGGTCTCTGGTGTTTCCTTGCACCATCGCACTCGTCTGATCCTGAATATGACTTGATGAACTCAAGCTTCCTCGTTTTCGGTCAGCAGCCAGCGGACGCGATCATGACTATCGTCTCCGCCAGCCTCTTGCCGTGATCCAGTTGCTCGAGCTGACGACTGAGCATCCTTTGCGATTCGTTGTCGGCCCCACGCTCAAGGTCTGATCCACAAACGTGCTTGCTAGCCTGCTCCCAAACACGCTCCGGCGCTTACGCCTGGATAACCCTCGGGACTTCCCGATGCTTGCCCTTGGACTTTGCATCCTGTGTACGCGCTGTCGGGGAACTGCCACTCCTCGCATGTATTCTCACCCGTGAGATAAGATGACAAAGTCGTTTCTGCAGGTGCTGATCCAGACGCAGCACGCTGAGCACAACTGCTTACTTGGGTCCCCTCACATTGCGTGCCTGATCCTTCCGCAGGTTATCTGACATCTTTTGAATAACAATCGACCATACCTTCTTGTCTGCCGTCCTGATTTCGGCCCGATCCCGCCAGACCTCGAGCCACATCTCGACGCCCTTGATGGGCATATGGCAATGGCGGGATCAGCGCTGGGCGCCTTCTTCACGTCGAGGGCAGTCATCAGGCACCTGCCCATGCGAGCCGAGAAGCACGCTTGTGCCCATCTCCGTCTGCACGCTTGTGCCCATCTCCGTCTGCACGCCGTCGGCTGATGCCCGAGAATTCCATGCACTTGATGCGAAAACCACATCAAGATAAACTTTTGGCGGTCCGTGCGGATTTCGTGGATCGGCGCTAGGACCCCCTGGCGGCACCTCCGTCGCCGCCCCTGGCGCGCTCCGCGCGCCAGGGACGTGGGCCCAGCTCAGATCCAAGAAACCCGCGCGGACCGTCGAAAGTTTCTGTTTACGTATGCCGTTTTTCTTCTATTGATGCCCATAGAGGCGTCTGCAGCCTGGTCATGACGGCAGGCTGGCGACAAACAGGTGTGAACCGTCCGATCTTCTTGTTCCCCTGGAGATGTCTGTCCTCATGCTTTGACCGAGATGCCCGTGCGTGCGCCGTGCATATCCGAAGGCCACCCTCAAACATGCGGTCTGCGAGACCGCCTGCAGAGACAAGCTGTGCTTGCGAGCTGCTCTGACAATCCATTCCGCATCCGCCCCCGTGTGTCTGACGCAAGTCGTCACAGACCCGGCGGCGACACGCAGCCGCCTTCTGCCGAGCTCCTCGCACGCGAGGGCGAGGCACTCGATCGTCTGCCTGCGGATGGGGGAGGCAGGAGGTGGGGAGGAAGGGTGGGGGGGGAGGGGGAGGGGGAGGGAGGGGGGGGGGGAGGGGGAGGGAGGGGAGGGGGGGGGAGGGGGGGAGGGGGGGGGGAGGGTGAGGAGGTGAGGGGGGGGAGGGAGGGAGGAGGAGGGGGGGAGGCAGGAGGAGGGGAGGAGGGGGTGGGAGGGGAGGGGGAGCGGCAGGAGTGGCGAGGAGGCGAGATGAGGCAACGGCTCGAGAGCCCCGAGAGCGAGTGGCCGCCCGGCCGGTCGGGGAGGAGGGAGGAGGGAGGAGGAGTGTAGTCCACAGATACTAATATTAATTATTCACGCAATCACTGTTACAAACAAAAATGGGATCGGTATTTTATCAATGGCAAATTTTCTCATAAGGAGCAGGAGGAGAGGGGGTGCAGGCCCAGCTGCGATCCGATCCGATCCGATCGGCGATGCCCCCCTTCCCGACTCGGGCTCCGATCGGGGTCCCTTTCCACCTGCCGATCTGGGAACTGCATTTTGTTTCGGTCTGGGGTTGCCGGTTCCGGTTCCCATCCGACGCTGCCGACGATTCCGCCCACGGAAAGCTCCCCGCGGCTGCCCGGCGTCCGCGCACCGTGCGCTGCCGTACTGCAACCTGGCCGCAGCTGCTGCAGAGATTCAGGCAGAAGTCAGGAGGGGAAAAAACACAGACACAATTAATCGCTGATTCTCAGGAAAATATGCGAAAATATGGGCAGTGGGGGGGAAGACAAAAACCTCAAAAATATAAGAAAATATAGGGAATAGTTTTATTTGTGTGTATTTATTTGTGTGTCCTGGGGCCCCTTCAAGAAGAGAGACAGAGTGGACTTGCGCGCTGTGACTGTGACCGACGAAGCAGCCTGCCAGGCACGCTTCCCGTGGCCGTGGCGTCGTGTCGGGGGCTCTCTTCGGGGTCGCCCCGAGCTTCCCATGCTGCTGGGCTCGAGGCCGGTGTGGGGAAACCAAGAGGTGCCCATACCGCTACCCCCCGGGGCCTCTCCCGGGGTGCGTTCTGACCAGGATTTGGAGGCGAATCCAGCGGTGGCTACCAGGGCTTCCCCGGAGGCCCAAAGAGGGGGAAAAACGGGCCAGGGGGTAGAGGTATGGGTACCTCTTCCTCCTCCCACAGCGACGGTTCCGCCCCTGGCACGGAAGGGGGTCCAGCGCCGATCCAAGAGATCCGCGCAGACCTCCCAAAGTCTATTTTTCCTTTTTCCAAGTCCCAACGCTTGTCCCGGTCCGCGTGCGACGTGTGTGCAGGCGTCGTCGATCCTCGACCCGGGCACTGTGCGGTGCACCGTCTCTCGGCCCACTGGGGACGGAGAGCCGTGCAGCGTACCGCGCTGGCGTGGAGAGCCTGAAGAGCGCCCGGGCACGATGCCGTGCGTGTGCCCCGGTCTCGTTGCGCTTCGTTTCGCCTCGAGTCGAGTCGCCTCCTCAGCTTTCTGGCCGCTTCGTGTCTGCGTTCGGGACCACAGTCCCTCTAGCACACCACCCAGCGTCTGCACTTTGCAGTGCGCGACGTCTTGTACACTGTGCCTTGGGCAATCATCGATCGCAGTCAGCCCTTCCACCTGCTGCCCGCGCCTGAGGACCCTCTGCTGCGCCGCCCGCTTCAAAGCGCACCGTTCTCATGCCGGGGGCGTGATCGGCGATGATGGCCCCGAAACGCACCACCCACCAAACCACCCCAACCCAACCCGAAGGCCTCAAATTTACCTCCATTTCCAGTGGGGGGCAGTCGGGGAACATCGAGAAAACACATATGGAACCCGTACCCCCCCCCAACCCGAAATTGGGGTCTTCGGGTTGGGTTGGGGTGGTCTGGTAGGTAGCCAGAAACGCACACCCGGCGGCGGCCAATGACGGAGCCGGCTGCTCCGCCTTCAGGAGCCTGGGCCCTCTTCGGCGGAGCGGTCGGAGCGGACTGCTCCTCCGCCCAGGGTTGCGGGCCCTGTATGCCGGTGGCAGCAGCCGTTGGCTGTGTGTTGCCGTTGATGCAGATGGTGGTGAGGAGGATGATAAGTTTGAGAGGGAGCGAGGAGGGAGGAGGGAGGAGGAGGAGCAGGAGGAGGAGGAGAAGGAGGTGGAGCAGGAGAAGGGGGAGGCGGAGCAGGATGAGGAGAATGATGATGATGATGATGATGATGATGATGATGATGATGATGATGATGATGATGGCGATGGTGATGGTGATGGTGATGGTGATGATGATGATGATGAGGAGGAGGAGGAGGAGGAGGAGTGGGCGGCTGCGCGTGAGGAGGTGAGTGATTCTGATGATAAGAAGTAGCGGCGATGCTGATAACGATAATCATGACGACGATGATGACAATGATGATGGCGATGATGGTGTTTGCGATATTGACCCCTGCTGCTGATGATAATTGATTCTGGTGATGGTGATGATGATGATGGTGGTGGAGGTGGTGATGATGGTAACGACGACGTCGATGACGATGAGGATGACGATGATGACGATTCTGGTGATGGTGATGGTGATGAAGATGATGATGATGATGATGATGATGATGATGATGATGATGATGATGATGATGATGATGATGATGATGATGATGATGATGATGCTGATGATGATGATGATGATGATGATGATGCTCCTCATGATGAAGATGATGTTGACGTCGAGCATGACGATGCTGTTGATGCTGCAGAGGGCGATGACGAGCATGGCGTTGTCGTCGATGCCCAAGTTGATGAACATGATTATGATGATGTCGCTGATGATGATGATGATGATGCTGATGATGGTGGTGGCGATGACGATACCGATGACGACAGCATCTGTGACGATGACGACGACGATGACGATTGCTGCTGCTGCTGCTGATGATGATGATCCCTTGTGCGGCCCTGTGGGGAATGTATGCGGCCCCCCCCTGGGCCTGCCACGGCCCGCCTGTCGGCCACGCCGAGCGCCTCGGCTCTTGCCGTCGGGAGGCAGCGGCGGCAGCGCCGCCCCGCCGCGGCCGCCGCAGGAGCATCCCGCCGCTTTACAAGCTGATGCAGGGGGTCGCCGAGGCCCTAGGCGGGCCCCGCAGAGCTCCGCTGGGCCGTCGTGGGGAGGAGGATGGAGGGGAGGCCAGGAAAAGGACGGACGAGCACGATGAGCGGGGGAATGCGCTTCTTGGTGGCCTCTCGGGGCACTCTTGGGGGCCTCCTGGGGGCTGGGGGCCTAGCCGCATGCCCCCGATAACAACGCATCCTGCTCCCCCCACTGAGGCCTCAGAGTTGGTCGGGGGACGGGCGGCGAGGCCGAACTTCATCATCACCAGGGAAAGTACGAATCGAAGACGCTATTTTCTTATGTTGAGTAGCGTATTATCAATCATATGTTCCATTGCGCCTAGTATTGTATTACTACAACTCCTATTACTACTGCTACTGCTGCTGTCGCTGCTACTACTACTACTACTACTACTACTACTACTACTACTACTACTACTACTACTACTACTACTACTACTACTACTACTACTACTACTACTACTACTACTACTACTACTACTACTACT